CATGTCATGTGAACTACTAGTAGTTCTCGCAATACTACAGATATGGTTATGTTTGGTTAGAGCCCTAAAACAGAGGGCCGTTTTTTGAAAATGATATTGAATATGTAAAATTACAATGAACATTATAAATTCAAATTATAAAATGTTATAATGACCTCAATATAACAACCAAAACAAATGTGTGTGAAATTTTTATATTTCTTCTGTTTTATTATACAACTAAAAGAGCCTGGGGTCAAATTGACCCCAAGGAACACCGATGCTACAAAATTTGTACAGGACTTTGAAAAAATAATAGCAGGTTAATTTTATGTTTACAGAGTTGTCCCCATTAAATTAGGAAAAGTCATTAAATTTGAAGCAAAAAATAAAAAATAAAATAAAATAAAATTATGTTTTTACAGACGTTAAACATTGAATGGGGTCAAATTGACCCCAAGGAACACAGATGCTACAAAATTTGTACAGGACTTTGAAAAAATAATAGCAGGTTAATTTTATGTTTACAGAGTTGTCCCCATTAAATTAGGAAAAGTAATTAAATTTGAAGCAAAAAAATAAAATAAATAAAAAATATGTTTTTACAGACGTTAAACATTGAATGGGGTCAAATTGACCCCAAGGATAATAGGAGGGGTAATTTCTCCAGCGATTTCTCATTTGCAGTATGTCCCTGGATATTAGAATGACATTTAGCAGATATTCTTGCCAATAGTTATTGTTTTAAATGTACATGCATAAATTTTTCACAATTTTATCAGATGCTTGTTCACAAATATGACATTTAAAATGCAATGTTTTCCAGCAATGCGCTCTCTCAGATATCTCAGTAACATACGCCAATTATGATACAGTAGGTCCATATTCTGTAAGACAAGTGCCTAATTGTAAAAAAAAAAAAACATTAAAAAACATGCCCCCAGTAAATAAATAAACAAATAAGCAAGCAAGCATCTATTAAATTATGTAAAACAGACAATATTCATCTGATCACAATGCCTGTTGCAATTGAGCAGGTGTTGTATACTTGGGCAGGAAAGCTAACTGAACTCTAGTAAATCAAATATAATAAGAATATTGTTATAATTATAGTTTAAAAGTGAGAAGACTATGATGGGTGTGATGGGAAACACGCTGAGTGGTTTTAACAGCTGAGAATCAAAAGAAAATGTGATGAAAGGCGATGAAACTAAGCAGGTGACGAGCACTCCTGTGTGAGAAGATTTGTCTATTTATTGATAAATTCACATCGGACAGGCTGTACAGGGATGCTGTTCCAGTGTTAGTTGTTATAGCTACTGTAGGAATCATCCTTTTCCTTAAACAACAGTTTTATTCATCCCTTTTCCCTTGGCAAATAATTCAGCTTGAATTGTTTAACCCACAAAATCCATTCAGACTTAATTTAGTATTTAATTTGTGTCAGATAGGCGTGTGGTCTAGATGCGGTTTTGTAAACATTATCCTCTGTAAGAAATTTCCAATAACATTTTGAAAATCTCCTTCTGACATGCATTTGTAAGATTAGAATGTTAGCCATTTAAAATCGGCACGATGATGCCGTCATAATATTTAGATACTGAAATGCGAATGATTTTCTCTCAACTATTTGCCAACTGAATTGTATTAGTCTATTAAATCTATTTTTAATAGACTCCATTCTAAACCTAAACGCACATAAAACTTCAGTATTATTCCTTTGCCGATTTGCAAACACTGGCATTTCCTTCAGCAAATGCAAATTCACTTCTTGTGTCACTTATGTTATAAATATGATGGGCAGAGCAGCTCTTATGTGCGGACTCATTCTCATGGCAAAATCAATTCTCCTCGAGGTGTTTTTTGATTGACAGCTGTGTGGCTCTTCCCTGATGTCCTGTCCCGTCTGTCATCCCGCCTCTCCACACTCATAACTCACAGTAATGAATGAGTGACTTTTTGACACCAGACAGCAGCCAATGAGAGGCCAACGTGTGTCTGCAGATCCAGGACAGATGCATGATGGGTTGTGAATGGATGGATCAACATTCAATGTAAATGGCACTTTCTAAGAAGTAAATTAGTAAAATTCGGATTTATTATTAGAAAGCATAAAAATATAAATAAATGAAACCAGTGGCGTAGGTTTGATTTTGAAATTGGTGGGGACGGGGACATCAATTTTAGGGCTGGGTATCGTCTCGATTCACATGTTCAATTTCGATTCGAAAGCTCTCAGATCGATTCAATTTAGATTTTCGATTTCTATTCTCGATTTCTGATTTGACTCTCGATTCGACTATAATGAATATAGATGTAATACAAATCCTATATTTATAAAAAAAAAAAAAAAAGAACAGTGGACATAAGTTTACTAGTGGTTAATTAATACAAAGAAATTAAGAGCCACAAACCTGTATATAAAACTGTTAAAGCGATATAATCCAGGGATCTGTTTCTGGCGAGCGGTTTCTGAGGCTTTACTGTATGTGCACGCAGTGAAAGACTGAAAGTGTGCGAGCACGGGATAGTTTAACATTGCTTGAATGTTTAAACTGGTAAAACGTAAAAAGACGTGAAAATGATAAACATTAGTTACGGTGCAATGTTGGCCCGATTGTGCAAGTGAATATACCGTCATGTCCCGACTCCTAAACGCGAGTGTGTACCTGCAGTGGCGCTTGCCTAGTGCAGAGAGAGAAGACGCAGCACCGCGAGCCCTTTATTATGGAAAAAATTGATTTGTGGCCGTTGAGAATCGATTTTGAACCACATTTGAAAAAAGATTAATCGAAAAAATTATTTTTTGCCCAGCCCTAATCAATTTATAAATATATTTTAAGTTTTGATTGAAATTATTGCTAGGGATATATCAGTGTCACTGGATATTGGCAGGGACACATCCCTAGCGTCCCTACTAAATTCTACGCCCCTAAATGAAATAATGAAAAATATATGTACACTTTTAAGGTCAAGTTAATGAAACAATGTTAAAAATATATAAACCTATAATACATGTAAGGGATAATGTGCATCCAGCCGGTTATTATCACAAAATAAACCCCTAAAGTGTGATCAGGACCCCTTATTTAACAAAAACTGAATGTTTTTATGTCTTTTATTTAACAAAGACAGAATGTTTATTATATCGCTTATAACATGGCTATTACACACAAAATATCGATGTTGAAATATTTTATCAGCTCTTCAAAGGGTAACAAAACCCTAAAACAACTTTTTTTAGTCAATGATCTGTAAGACTGGGACTTTATTAATGCTGTTCATTGATTCAAGTAATTGTTTTTACATTTGAGTATAAAGTGATTTTATTCTACAATATATGGTGTAAACACGTCTGAGTGGTGCCCTCTTTAGGTTGAATGGTGGCTACTGCAGTTGAAATTTCCTATTGGAAGTTGTGGTGCCTTGTGATGAAAGCAGGCACCAGCTAGTCTCGCGTAGCGAGACCTTCAGACTGACGGCTGAAGGTCTGGAATTCATAGCAGCTTTCTTTGGCCAAGGCCCGCCCATAAGGCCGTTTGACCGACATGTCAAACAACTAATTACAGTTCGTTTCATTCAGCGTCACGTTTCGGTGCGTCGAAATGTCCCCACAACATCAGACCGGCGTGCAACAAGTCAGTCAGCAGCAGTCACCGGAGGCGCTCGTTAACAACGGTCCGCGTTATTAAATTCACCCACGAACTCGCGCTCATGTCCATCTTATGCCCGCTTTGTCACACGGCCAGTTCAACCTCGTATAAATCAGGTTATGTGTGTAAATCACGTGCTCACAAACGCTCACTCAGACACACTGTCCCCGGCGCTGCTCGTGCGTCACAGTTATGTTCATAAAGCGCTCCCCGTTCACAGTAACCGGCTCGTCTCATTCAAAACAGCCAGATGTAACGTTAGCTGTCAGCGAGCCGCCGCACATTGAATACTCGCAGTCAAACGTTTGACTCTGCAGTATCGTATGCACCTTATAATCCAGTGTGCGCCCTATATATGAATACTGAATCTCGGCCAGCTGCGATGTCAGCGTCTGTTGTTTCATGTTTGCCCACAAACGCGGCTGATATCCCCTTCGCAATTAAGTACTTCAATTGATCTTCCATAATTGATAGGAGGGGACATACAACTACGTTTAGCTGATCTTGATTAATGCTCATTGTCACTCATAAACACAACAGTTTTTCTTCCGCAATCACACTTCTGCGCTTTGTTTCCCGGCGGACCGAAAATAAACGCGACACTGACGCCCCCCGGAAATCCGATAAAATTCAACCAATCAGATGACGACTTCGACATTCCTGAAGTGTTTCCAGTTAAGTGTACCATATGCATCAGACGTTTAGCCAACGTTCCGTGGGCATGACGTCTGAGGCTGAGACTAGGCACCAGCTAACCATGCCCTCACCTACAGAGAGACCTGTCTCAGGTGAACCCCCCCCCTGGGCTCTGACCAGAGGTTTAGTTACCCTTTAAAGGCAAAGCTTTTGCAAAGAAAAACAGATCCTAGCAAACAGCTTTAAACCTAGACGAACAAAGTTCAAACAAGACATTTAAAACCCCCCTGCAGTCAATAATTGAATACCTTACAATTAATCTTTGATAATCAAAATGAAATATTTAAATGTTTTTTTTTTCCTCTTAAAATAATTATTCACGCCTTAAAATAGCTTGAATGCAACTCTACACCCTTGCTTCATTTAGTATATGTGGAACCATCAATATGCAAAATAGCCCCGCCTCCACTCACTAACGCCAGGTCAGAATACCTGATCCCCTCTGTCAACTGTAGTAAACATGGCACAATGGCTAGTGGAAATATTGGTTAAATTTAGCAATATATGTTTGAACTAGAAACTAAATCAGAAGAAGAGGAAGAGTTGTATTTATATATGAGAGGGGAACTTGACTCCTCTTTTCAAAAGACACAACAAGTCAATGGTTTTAATACTATAAGAGAACGAGACAGTAGGAATGAACTCTAGTAAAAATAAACATGGGATACTTACAGGGAATACTCTGGAGGAATTCCCTTAAAGGCAGGCAGGTCTCGGACATACTCGTTATGGAACCATTTGACTTTGAAGTGCAAATTCATGTACTCTGTGCTCTTGCATAGACGATGCTTGTCATGTTCTGCAAATGAAAGGAACAAACATGAGACATGAGCTTTAGTGTCTGAAGACATTCCATAAACATCAGTCTGTAACGGTTATATATGGTATATATATATATATATATATATATACAAAACATATATAAAACTATAACAATGTATATAATTAATGCTAAAATAGCACTGTAACCAAGAGGACACCACAGGAAAGAAAAAAAAAATCCCCACTGAGATGTATTTAATATTTCAGCGTTTTAAACAAGACAATGAGTTTAAATGGAAAAAAAAAATTACTCCAAACAAACAAACGTTTCACTTGGAATACAGTGTTGTGCACAGCTGAATTGTTCACAATGAGAACATACTGTACTATATATTAAGCAAGTAAATGTGACAGTTTTGATTTCATGTTTAATAACCCCTATCCCATTTGAAAAAAAAAACAACATAATTTAAGCAATAAAACTTCCCCCTGAGAGCTTACAAAGCAAAACATGACATAGGAAAGGTACGCATTCTTGATTTGTCGGACAACAACTTGAACGATCTGTACGTTTGCTGCAGTGTTTTGTAAGTGCACACGGCCACAGCAAGTAGAGCTCATCCCCGACAGTCAGAAAAGATCAGAAAGACAAAAACCTGCCCACCTGTGTGGACACAAGGCGGACAGACGACAGAGTCTCAGCGGTCTGGTGGGATATTTGGCAGGGGAGCTGTGATATAGACTCTGACATGCCACGTAATAAAGGTCAGAGAGGATTGTGGGTAACCTACAGCAGCTAAACAGCGAGTGGATTCAGGAGACGACAGTCTGGCAGCCATTAGAGGAAGCACAGTGAAGTATTACTGCCCTACAAAGCAAAAAGGCAGTAACTACGCAGAGTGCAGAACTGAGAAAAATGACTTTTGCTAGGGCTTTTTGCAGTTACTGTACAAACGACTACCATTTTTCTCTAAAACGACACGCATTTAACATAAGATGTTTTGTCACATAACAAAGGATGCCTTGAATGTCATGAAAATTTTAATAATTAATGCTTTACCAAAACTGCAGTTACTGCCTTTTTGCTTTGTAGGGCAGTATAGCTCAGAAGTGACAGTAAGGGAGAAGGAGAGTAGTTTACTTTAACTCCTGCAGTTGTCAAGCGGGAATGACATGCAACTACAGTGAGGAGAGATGTCAGCATATATCCACCGTAACCTCTCACTCCCTGTGTAAAATGAGGACATAATCACCTCTGACAGGACAAACATGGAGGACTTTATTGACTTAATCACAGTAGTGCAGCGCAGGGCTGTCGTCAAAAATTACTGCTGCACCCAATTACAAAGCGCTCTGTTTGTGGTTATGATGACAAAAAGTTTTGAAAGTTAAATACTGTTCTTACCTGTTTTAGTTAAATACCCTAACCAAACAAAAGAAAACACCGCAAAAAATACTTTTTTGGTCCGATCTTCTGTCACGTAACGCTATGTCGCACAACGAGGGAGAATTCCAAAATATAGGGTATTTTAATAAATCCATAGAAGAGTATCACAAGAGACACACTAACATAAGTTACACATAGATGAGATCAAACAAAGGACTGAAAGACTAGAACTAATGAGATAAGTGATAAACAGGGCACAGGTGAATGACATTGCTAATTAGACAGACTGGGGTATAGGGATGGGCAATGATTAATCGCATCCAAAATAAAAGTTTGTGTTTACATAATATATGTTTGTGTAGTGTGTATAATTAATTTGTTTATATAAATACCCACACATGCATGTATATAGTTAAGAAATATGTGCATGTATATATTTTATATATATATATATATTTATTCACAATTAATATTATTTATAAATATAATTTGATATATTTGATATATTAATAACACATTTTTCTTAAATATATACATGCATGTGTGTGTATTTATATATAAAAATTAATTATACACACTAGACACAAATATATTATGTAAACACAAACTTTTATTTTGGATGCGATTAATCGCGATTAATCGTTGCCCATCCCTACTGGGGAAAACTACAGAAGGTCACAAGCATAGACAGTAAAAGAAATGGACAGAGCGATCTCATTGGAACTCCATTGAGACGATTGAATCCCGTTTTTGGCGATTTTTTTAGCACTTCCGTCCCAGACGCGCAGACTCAAACAGAGCTTGACTACGTAGATGTGACGTGAGTGACCCGTCTGTCTTCTAGTGGCTGTGGCATGAGAAATCTGAATCATTCCCTACCGAAACATGCAGAGGCGGAGAGTGTGAATAGGAGCTGTCCATGAGCTAGGAGAAGGAGACAATTTTGCTAGATATTCTGATTAAATATTTTGTCATTTTGCCTCCACGTTTCCCCGATTGTGCACAAGCTTCTCCTCCTGTCCATACGGTAATCTTTCTACTGTGCGACAGAGAGTCGCGTGGGTATAACGCAATCGTTAGCCTACTTTCACTAAAACTGCTTCTACAGGGCCATAACATAAGCTACAAGGTAATGGACCTATTTATACATTGTCGTGTTTCTTTAGAAGTAAATAAAGGACAAATGGGTTCTTCAAACGCCTCAGATGTAAAGTTATTCGCTGTCAAAGTGACGCCAAAATGAATGGGAGTCAATGGGAATGCTAACGCAAGTGAAGTTCTGCTACAAGATGTCAGCTCCCGTGAGGCTTCAACTTCCGGTCGATGGATTACCCCCTTGGTCACAAGGGCCTGATCCAAATCACACAAGACAGAGCATACATGTAACAATAGCATAATATTGCTATAAAATAGCATATAATTGACCAATCAGAATCTTATTGAGAACATATTAAATAAACATGAGCAGTACCACGATATCCTGTCATATATCAGTAATGATTGAGGTTTCATGACATCTCATCTTAACAGCTACAGACCACCTTCTCAAATATTCACAGTACGATTTAAAATATTGCTCCAGAGGCGTGCAACCTCTGACATACAGGGGTTGGAAATGAAACTGAAACACTGGCCAATGTTGGAGGTTTCACATCTATATGCCTGGCGGCCAATCTTCAGAGTGAAGCACGGGTGGATCAGTGATGGTTTGAGCTCCAATATCATGACAATCCTGATTGTATTTGATGGACACGACACTGCCGAGGACTACCAAACCCTTCTAGAGGATCATGAGCACCTGATGCTCAAACCGTGTATCCGCCTGATCATGCACCAACACGCACAGCAAGACTTGTGACCGAAGGGTTTGATGAAGATGAAAGTGACGTTGAACATCTCCCATGGTCTGCACAGTCACCAGATCTGAATATTATTGAGGTGTTTTGGAGGAGCGAGTCCACCAGCATCATATAGTGACCTGGACACTGTTCTGGAAGAGGAACGGCTCATAATCCCTCTGGTCACTGTGAAGGACTTCTATCTGTCAATTGGTGCTGTATTTGGATGCAAAATGAGGCCCTCAGCATACTAACAAATTATTGTGTAGTAAAACCAGGTGTTTCAGTTTTCAGTTTTGTCCAACCCCTGTATATAGCAATTGTAAGTCGCTTTGGATAAAAAAAAGCGTCAGCTAAATGAATAAATGTAATATTCAACCTATCCGACTGTGGTTGTCAACACTAAAATGTAAGTGTCAGTAAATAATTATTCATGCATTAGATCATCACATTCATCACTTCACTGTGAAGTTCTGATTTTCAAGCCCTTCAGCTGAAATGATACGCTCACGTCTCTGCCCTCCATCCAGTGCCAGACCTGCAATGAGGGTCACTTGAACCCAAAACCCTGATCCACCTGAGCTTTTCATAGCTTTAAGAAGCAAACAATAGCCCCGCTTGCCATGGAAACAACAACCACTTTAGTCTGAAAGCAAAGATAATGATTCAGACTGCTGCTTGCATGCTGGTCTTTAATTGTTGCATATGGCTTGACTAATTTGCTGCATTTATTTCACAGCAGAATTACCACAATTACAAGTTTCTACTGAAAACTTCAGACATAATTAAGCTTCTGCTATCACAATGACCACATGAGACAAATCACATGTATTAAGTCAAAATTAAACTAGTTAATTTACTTTCCCTAATAAAAGTTTCTGGTTATTTTAAATAAAAATAAATTCAAAGAAACGACCACATTAAATCCTGATAGATAAAATCCAGTAGTTATGGTTAAATACAGCTAAAACTTGAACTATTCAAAACATAAAACTATTAATAAACTAAATGAAAATGTGAAATGTCGCCTAACTACGGTAACTGATTTAAGTACTAAAATTATAAATAAATAAATAAATAAACCAAATAAATGTTTACAAAAAAAAATTAATATTTTTATCAAGATACTGTTCAGTATGTAACAATAAATTAACACTGATACTCTCTCTGCGCATTATTTCCACCTGAATATTCTCCTTCACTGTGAAACGTCAAATTATGGAAGATAAATGTGATGAATGCATCTACAAAGTCCCAGCTGACATTATTTCCAGCTGAATATTTCATTCTGAAAGTTATGGAAGTCATTGTGGAATGTTGTCATTAACATGTTCTGGAAATGCAGAGCTAAACTCCAAGACTTATGATAGAAGGAGTCTCGGTTGGTTTAGGCAGCTCTGCATTTCCATAATGCTTCATATGTTTTCCAAAACCCCATAATGAGCGACATTAATAACACCTGCTTATGAAGCATGTCTGCATGAATTATTAAAATGAACGACTAACTCTTTTGGCAGCTCATTGTTTCTTGCAACCTCTGAGAAGTTGAATTCCTGAATTGTGCCGCTGTTTGCTATACCGTGGAATTGCTCGTTTATCTTAAAGAAACCGTTATTTTTCTCAGGGAACAGTCACCTCGAGGCTAATGTAAGGGATATCAGATAGCGTCACACTGAGTGAACTTGCTCTTCAAGAAAAAATATAACATCCCTCACTTTAACATAAAAGCATCCATAATCCATAATTCTGGAGTTTTCCACCACAAAGAGCGTCCTGATAAACACCTGCCGCTGCAGGCGTACGTCACATGCTCTTCTGAATGTTGCATGAAGAATGAAGCTGTAAAAGAGAGTTCGCTGAAACGGAGAATCAGCTATTGGGTAAATCTCACTAAGGCTGCATTTACACTGCAAGTCTTAATGCACAGATCCGATCTTTTGACCATATCCAATTTTTTGGCCCGTCTGTTTACATTCACTTTTGACAGGACTGGAATCCGATATCTAAGTTTACATTTATTCTTGCCCAAAATTATTTTCTGTGATCGTTTTACTAGTATGCACACTGTTTATCTACAGCTCAGGGGCCTCATTTATAAAGATTTGCTTAGGATTCGTCAATCGGGAATGACATGCAACTAAAGTGAGCAGAGATGTCAGCATATATCCGCCTCTCACTCCCAGTGTAGAATGAGGACATAATCACCTCCCACAGGACAGACATGGAGGACTTTATTGACTTAAAGCTAGGGTATACGTTTTCACAGATTGTTCATTATTAATGTCCTCGTTTAGATGCTGGTTATGGTTATAGTACAATCCTAACAATATGAATAGAAAAAAGAATGAAAAAAATCTATTCACTCTATTGGCTGTACAGCCGCAGAGAAGTTGACCAATGTAAGCTGTCCGGCCGGAAATTTGAATTTTCCTAAAATTAATAAAGAAGTGGGTCGTCAGGCATTCAAATATAAAGCTCCTTCAGATTGGAACAGTTTCCCAAGGGAAATTAGATCTACTACTTTGTTTAAGTTATTACTAAATGATTATTTGCAGAACACATGTTCCTGCTTTTGAGTATAACTACTTTCAATTATCACGTGGACTTCATTATTTTCATAATGCATGTTATGTGTGATAACTGCATACTTATTGTATTAATGTACTTGTAAGGCTTGTACTGTATGTGAGGAGAAAGTTATGGAGAGCTAAATGTTCGTAAATGTTGGTAAGAATGTGATTGTGTAATATTATGTGACATAATGCAAAATGCTGTTTGTATTTATGTTTGTTCTCAGGACCCCCTCGAAAACGAGGTGTTGCATCTCAAGGGGCTATCCCTCAAATAAATTTCAAATTTGCGTCAGAAGTGGCGTACGGATGAAACATACTGTAGGATGTGAGTAGGCACAGAAATTTATAAAACCATCCTCCGCAGGTTTCCCTTAATAAATCACAATCAATTCTAAATGTAGTGCAGCTTTTGCGGCTTCATGTCACGCCAATAGTTGCCCATAAATAGTCAGGGAAATGCCCACAAGTTAATATTCATCGATTGCGAAATCATGGCAAACACAGAGAGGAAAGCCAAGAAACGTAACTTCATTCAATGTGAAGTAGAAATTATCATTGGCGTGGTGGAAAGAGGAGTAAAATGTTGTTTGGAGCCACAGTGTGGGCATTAATGCCAAAAAAGGCACTTGAGTGGCAAAAGGTTGCATTTGCATTGTGAAGGCATCATGGCATTTTATTACCATCCATTTGATTGCATCTGACAAGCTACAGATGTGTTATGAGGATGAATTGCATAACATGCAATAATTATTATTGTAGAACATATTTCACTTTTATTTTCACAAATATCTGTTAATTTGCATTTCTGTTGTAATCTTCATTTGATTTTGTTTGTTTTACGCTGCAGATTGATCAAACGGGTGTTCGTGTAGGCTGTTAATTGTAAGGCTTGCTTTGTGAAGTCTTCATGTTATTTATAAGAGTCAGTATTGTCATTTAATTTACACAACAGTCTACAGTTTCACACACTTTCACACACATTCACGTTTCTTCCATCTGCCGACGGTGTCGCCATTTCTCATTTCACCCGTTTTTGTGCGTACGTCTGGGTCAGATCTTGCATGAAGGTCTGCAAATTTTCCCGTCAAGTTTGCTTTTTATAAATACCAATTATTGCGTAGAGAGCAGTGCACACCTTCTTTTGTGCATACGCAACGTTTAGAAATGAGGCCCTGGATCTAGAATTCTGAAGTGAAATAAAGTAGGCCTGTATTATTTTATTTTTCAATGAATTCTCCTGACTTTTAATGAGCTCCTGAATGTTTCGGTTCTAGTCATTTTGTTTCTTTACAAAGATAAACTTAAAGTTCCCACCTCAATAAAAGCTGTGAGAGAGAGCGCATAAGGCATGCCAGCCTCATAATACAACATTAAAAAGCTATCTTTGTGAATAAACATGTCGCCCTCGCCTTGTGGTGGCTTGGAATTCAATTCATAACATGCAATAATTATTATTGTAGAACATATTTCACTTTTATTTTCACAAATATCTGTTAATTTGCATTTCTGTTGTAATCTTCATTTGATTTTGTTTGTTTTACGCTGCAGATTGATCAAACGGGTGTTCGTGTAGGCTGTTAATTGTAAGGCTTGTTTTGTGAAATCTTCATGTTATTTATAAGAGTCAGTATTGTCATTTAATTTACACAACAGTCTACAGTTTCACCAGCCCGTTCTCATCCTTTAACGTCATATAGAACGCTATATGACAAAACGGCGCTATACTACGCACATGGCACCCTTTATCGTTAATATAACACGCGAACCCAAGACGTTATAAATCCTTTAGCGTGAATATGACACGCACACCCTACCCCACACCTAAACTTAGCCCTCACAGCACGTGTTATATTAATGATAACGGGTGCCATGTGCGTTTTGTCATATAGCGTTCTATATGACGTTAAAGGATGAGAATGCGTTGGTTTCACACACTCGCCTTGTGGTGGCTTGGAATTCAAAGGGAATCAGATATGTATGTTCAGACGTACAGTAAGACAGATGTCCAGATACCGGATATATATCCGATTTAAAACCACATTTGGAAGTGCCTCAGATCGGATGCGGAAAAAGCGGATTTGTGTTTACACGTGTGCAACAAATTCCGATCTGTGTCAGATATGAGTAAAAGACCAGAGTTTTTGTGCCAGTGTAAACGCAGCCTAATCTGTCAATAACAGATCCAGATTACATTTCACTCCAAACACAACAGAGATGAAAATTCTACAGTCTCTAACTGTAACTGTACCTACAGTATGTGTGGTGTGAAGAGGTGGATGGTTGAGAAGAGGGATGTGATTCGCTCTGACAGTGTCACTTTAATCACTGGTCCGAAGGCTAAAGCGAGTGCTAATGCGGTGTGGTTCAGGGGCGGCAGGAGATGTGTATGCCAGGCTGCCCAGAGTGCCATCCACCCACACTGAGAGTCAGTGCACCTCCAGCACATGTCCTCCCTTGAGACAAGCCCTTATTAAGCCAAGAACAGCATGGGATATTCACACAGAACAAATAAAAATGGAATTTTCCGGCAATCAATGTTTTCACTGTAATACTGGGAAGGGTGATACAACTTATTTTATTTTCAATCTGATACCTTATGAAAAACAACCGTGGTGTTAATTAGCCTAACATTTCAGTAATCAGTTTTTTTATTATCATTATTATTACCATGGTTTTGCTATAAAAATATTATGTTTCATGTAGTAGTAACCATGGTAAATGTGTGGTTACTGGAGTTTTACAACAAATACTATAAATTAACTGTTTAAAACCATGGTTCATTTTTGTAAAGGGCTGCCAGTGAGAGGCTATTGTATCCCTAAAGATAAAACTTTTTTTTTCTTTTTTCCTGACAAATTTAACAACAGCCATCAAATAACATAACACGATCCATCTGAATTTTTAATGATCAATTTAAATAAACGTAATTATACAAGCCTAATTATAATAATGTTAGTGTTACAAATAAACTACTGTTTACAAGTTTGGTGTTGGTAAGGTATTTAAATCCTCACCAA